ATAGTTGTAGGAGAGGCTGAGGAAGCTAAAAATGCCTACAACTCAAATTCCATGATTTTGAGTCGAATTTTGATTTTGGGGGTGTAGCCCCCCCCCCCCCCCCCCTTAATCGTGAGTTTGCAGGTTCGGGGGTTCCAGCATCAGGGCGAACGTTGTGTTCTTGGGAAAGGCACACACTTTACTGGAATGATTCTCACTTCACCCAAGTAAGAATGGGCACCCGGCCATAGACAGTGATCTTGTCAGTATGTTAGAGTTTTAGTGCCTATAAAAATGGCACCTTGCACTGTATGCTTCAAAGGAAGTTGAGATTGTTTCAGAATGCTTTTATGTTTGCTGGGGTAATAAAATAGATTAAAGCTTGCTGTTGAGCGGGGAATTTGCGTTAAACGAATACTATTTGTTATTATTATTATTATTATTATTATTATTTTAACCCGGTGTGCAAAAGTACCTGTGATCTGGCTCCCCCCAACTGATGGAACGGTTTCTTCTGCGTCTTGTACACATCGAAGTTTTCGGCCCAGTTTCCTTTGAAGAAGAGTGTGTTGACCAACAACATCACTGTGTCGGAGGTGATGGAGTCTAGAGAGTAGGGGGGGAAAACATGCATAATGTGTAGGAAAAGCCGTAAACCCAAGATATCTCATAAGCAAAGGAGAAAAAATCAAACATGTTCTCATTTACTCACTCACTCACTCTCTCAAATCAATTCTCATTTTGATGTCATCAAATATCTTCCGGCAGTTATGATTGTCCAGTTTTAGCTTCCCGTTATTTTCCAATATCGTGTTTTTAAACCACCTTTCTTGTTTTGTTTTTTTTACTTGGTTTTCTTTATCAAATACGCACACAGCCGATTTAGAAAAAAGAAAACCCGGATGGATCAAACAGTGCCTACAAACGAACTGATCATTTATAATACTCGTATATAATAGACTAGTTTTTTTTTTTAAATCATGAGCTAACAGAACCAAGTACTATACTATGTGAATTAATAAGAATTATACGTGAAATCATAGTGAAATCAGGCGCTGCTCAAAAATGAAGAAACCGACGTTAATTCATCGGCCGTTTGACAACTTTCGTTGTTTTTTCCCCATTTCAGCACCAGGCTTCTGAAAATGCTTATGGATAGAATGCAAATAAAAAAAACCCCAACCAAATACTTACTGGATTTGACCACATTTTTAATCATGTCGTGGGTATTTCTCTCAATGAAATCGTTAATCGGCTTCTCAGGACCACCGGCAGCATTCATGTCAAAAGCTTCGGCCTTGGCGAAATATTTGTTCTGGACGTCAGTGACGAAACTAGGGACAATGTTGAAGCTTGGGTTGGTGAAGATGCCATTGCCTGTGTAGAGCTGAACGTCCTTGGCTGAGTTGAGCTGTGGAGGTTTATCCTTTTTAGTTTTGATATATTATTAAGTGTTAAACGCCCTACTACGCACACAGTGCGTGCAGTTTGTTTCTTTCTTTCCTGAAAGAACACTCCGCAAATAGGATAACAGAAAGTGTTTGAGAGAATGCACAATATATATTAAACAGTCGACTACGGATGAGCTGATGTTGTCGGGGGAGTGAAAAAAGATCAACCAACTAATCTAAAGTTGGGATCTGTAAAAATGAAGAGGTGCTTGAACCCGAGAACATAATTTTACCAAACAGAATATTAACACTAACGATTTCAACGCAGGCGGAGTCGACTGTCGTAACACATCGAATAGGCCTATTATGTAATTAGATTATCTGCAGTTTAACTGTTTATGTTGTAAATATGAGTGTGTTGTTTCTGCTGGTCTTGTTTGTTGTTCTATAACTAGTTATGTAATTGGAGGTTACATTTTTGTTACTTTTATTTACGATTGGAAGTTGACAAGTTTGTGCCTTGAAAAAAGGGTAGCTGTAGGCTGTAAGCTACTAAAATAAAAGATAATACAACAAGATAAATGAATGTATGTTTTTGTGTTGTTGTTTCTGTCAATGTTACTTTCGTTGTAGTTGCTGTTATTGTGGTTTTTCTCTCCCCCCCCCTTCCTCCTCTTCCTCCTCCTCCTCCTCCTCCTCCTCCTC